TATATATATATATATATGATTGTGTGTGTGTGTATATATATATATATATAAACATAGATAACATGGATGGATGATAGCTAGACAGCTAGATGATAGACAGACAGACAGACAGACAGACATACAGCTAGATACATACATACATGCACTGTAATGACATAGAAGTGCAGAGTCTGTGTATTAGGCCATATTACAGTGGAGCAGACTGTAGGCAATCCTGTTTCTGAGTTTGCCCACAAAGTCAGCACACAGTCAGCAGCAGCAAGGCCAGAGAAGAATGTGACCACCCAGCTTTTTCTGCTGGCCAGACATCGCTCAGAAGCCATGGCCAGTGTGCACAAATACTATTCATAACACACACTCCCACTCTTCAGTGCACAGGGCCTGAGGACCAAGATGTAGGGGGCTGACAGTGCCAGTGTGCTAAGATGCCAAACCGGCAAAACAAACAGCTGCACACACTTACTTTTTCTTGGCTTCTTCGTACTGCCAGTTGAGTTTCACCTTGTCCACCAAATTGGAGGAATTTGGCGAACAAAACTTCAGAAAAACAGAAGATAAAGCATCTGTCAACAGCTTGATAGCTTTGATAACGTGCTCATAATATTAGCAGTTAGTCACATAAGATGTGTGAAGGGAGTAAAACAAGCCTGCTCCTGTGTAAATCAGATAATCTAGTCAATATTTGAGCTGCTGCTAAGAATTTTAAGCTTGACAGGGAGAAGTTGTAGTGCCTCCTACCTCTCCCATGATGTCTGTCTGACAGCTGGTGTCACAGTACTGCTGGAGACTGCACGAACTCCCAACGGTTCCGGTGCTGTTTACCGCATCGCTGGTCGAGTCACTGATTGACAGGCTGCGTTGAAAGTTCATTGTCAGCTTAGCCAGACTCTGCAACATAAATTATTGATTTATTAAAAATAATAATAATAATAGACGCCTTCCAAAACAACCCTGCAAGAGTCGACAATAGAGTGAAATGTGTTTATGCAAAAGAACTCAATTTAATATTCAAAAGGGGATCTGCGGTGGAAGTGGTCTCCAGCCACAAGTACTTGGGTGTACACCTGAATGCAGGGCTTAATTTGTAAACTGATTGATGCCGGAAGGGGGGTGCGCATGGGTGGGGGGTCCGTGGGTCCTCTCACAGAATATTTTGAATAACAGAGATGCCATTTCCTGCATTTTGGTATATTTTAACGGGTTGCTATACATCAACATTTACCTACATTTGTAAACACTTAATAAAATTATTTTGGAGAGCAACTGCAGGTTGTGTGAAGCAGCTCCGATTCTGTCAGGTGTCCTAAACCCCCCTCCTCCCCCTCCTCCCCCCTCCTCCCTCCCCTCACTTCACGGTTCTGAGCTGAACTCTTCTCCATTCTCGCTCCAGTCTTGTGGCACCATTTGAAGCACCTGAAGGATTCAATTCTCTGTTGTCCAACTAAGGACAATCCATCCATCCATCCATCAATCCATCCATCCATCAATCCATCCATCCATCCATCAATCCATCCATCCATCAATCCATCCATCCATCCATCCATCAATCCAACAATCCATCAATCCAACAATCCATCAATCCAACAATCCATCAATCCATCCATCAATCCATCCATCCATCAATCCATCCATCCATCAATCCAACAATCCATCAATCCAACAATCCATCCATCCATCAATCCATCCATCCATCCATCCATCCATCCAATTTTTATTAAAGTAAACTGGACTGTGTTTTTGACATTTTGATCCTGTTGTTATTTGGACAAATTCGCACCGTTGTTTTGAAACGTGACGTATAATGTGAATAACACATCAAACATTTCTCTCTTTGTATTTTTTTTTTTTTTTACAGTAAGCTTTTTTATTTATTATGTCTGAAATGTAGCAGGAGTTCAGACACCTGCTGTTGTGTGTGCGTGCTGGGTAGAGATTGGAGACGTTTCTGTGCGTAACGTGCACTGTCTGCAGAGCATTTATTTATTCTGTTGAATAAATGATCGCTTGTTTCGGGGGTCTGAGAGGAAGAGAGAGCGGGTGTTTTTCAGTGCGCCGCCCTGCTGAGGAGGGACAATATTTGGAGAGGAGGAGGAGACAAGGACTCTGCGCAACACCTCTGTGCGTAAATGTGACTATCTGATGCATCCTCAGGGAAGATTCAGTTTTGTGTTGTGTGTTTCCTTGACTGATGAAGCCTTCCGGATCGAAGGCGAAACGTTTCAGCACAAAAAAAATAAACTGTCCAGATGACCTGACGGAAAAATGTTGGATTGTATACCTGGATTATTGAGCATAGACTTTGTTGTCTTCTCTCGTTGTATTTGTTAATAAATAATCAAACTAAAAATGGCGATGACTTTGAACTTTTAGGGGCGGAGCTGCCAGATCCGAGGAAAGAGTTTCCGGAACATAAGTCAAAATGAAAGAGTTCCTGGATCTTGTTCCGGCAGGATCCGGCTCAAATTAACCACTGACTAAATGACAACCTCAGCTGGAGCAACAACACCACCAGCCTGATGAAGAAAGCTCATCAGAGACTCTACTTCCTCAGGCGGCTGAGACGAGCTGGTCTGGAAGCTCAGTCCTCACCTCCTTCTACAGGTGTGCAGTGGAGAGCATCCTGTGCTCCAGCATCAACGTGTGGCATGGAGGCTGCACAGCTGCAGAAAGAAAAGCTTTGCAGAGAGTGGTGAAGGCTGTGTGCCTGTATGGAAATATACCTGGCTAGAGAAATGTCACTTCCTGGTAAACGAGGTAGGCAGAGTATAAAAGGAGGTGGTAATGCTCATTCTGGCACCTGTTTTCCTCCTGCTCCCACTACGTGGTTTGCAACCTGTGGGGTTTGGTTGTGGCTGAGCAGCTGATCATGTTGTGCATGCTGTTATGGCCTTGGTGGGGTAGGTGTCCTCTTCTGTTGCACTATAGTTGATCTTTATAGAGTGCTCATCTTAGTGTGATCGCAGGTGAACACCAAGCTTACTGCTTTACTCCTCCTCCTCCTGTGTGTGTGTGACTGCATGTGTGTGTCAGCAGGTGAGTAGCTGAGTCCCAACTCATTGTCAGCTTCAAATTTAATACTGTTTGATAGTGACTAGTTGACTGAATTTTATAGGTCCTTTGTTGAAGTTGGGACCACTGCTGTTTTGTCTCCACTGAAGTTACAACTGTTTCGTCTCTGTGGAAGATTACCATTGTTATGGCTCTATGGAGGACCACTGCTGTTTGGGTTCTCCAGATTATTGCACTTAATAGCCTCCAGACGCCTGTGGCTGCTTCACTGGACTTCTCCACAACAAATTGTTTGGGGTGCAGTCCCTAAGCACTCATGTCAGTGGAGTGGGTAATTAGCCACCCACCTGGGTCTGGACCACACTTTTAAACTGATTATTTGATTTGTTAAAGTATTTAAAATGTATTTAAAAAGTAATTATAAAAATGGAAATGAATAAATTGTTTTTTAAATTTGCAAGCCTGTCTCAGATGTCCCAAATATTTTTTGTAAGATCTCTGAACCGGTGTGCTTTGAAAATTGAATAATCTTAATTAGAACCACAGGGTACCACCACAGCTGCACAGAAGATGTTGGAGTCAGCCTCCACACTGTCACAGACATTTACACCTCTAGATGAAGGAAGAGGGCCACTTGCATCATGAAGGACCACACTCACCCAGCACACACACTTTTTGCCCCACTCCCCTCAGGAAGGAGGTTGAGGAGCATTAAGTGTAGAACCACTAGACTGAGGAACAGCTTCTACCCTGAGGCTGTTAGACTCATGAATCTCTAACTAGAATAATCACTGTGAAAAATCACATCATGTTGCTGCTGATCTGTTTCATGTTGCTGCTGATCTGTTTCATGTTGCTGCTGATCTGTTTCATGTTGCTGCTGATCTGTTTCATGTTGTTGTGTTCATGCGTGCTCAAGTAGATGCCATTTCCTGCATTCTGGTGTATTTTCCAATGGTTTATTACAGTAGATTAACATGAAACAAAAGATGCAAACTCATTATTGAAATTTCTGACTACAAAGTTGCAGCTTTGCAGATAAGGCGCATTCACTTCAGGACAAATTGAGGTCACCGATTGGTCAGTTGCTAATGTGCCTACTGGATTGATTGATAGGTGGGTCGAGGATTCGACTACTCCAAAAAAATAAAAATAAATCATAGATTTTACTGGCCCACTTTAAGACTGTCTTTTATTCCATATTTATTCCATATTTGTTCAATATTTTGGTGAATCTAAGGTTTGAGAACTGAGTTGCCTTACACAATCCTGATGGTTTCTTTATTTTTCAGGGATGCTGAGTTAAAATTTGGGGGCACTTGAGCACCCCCAAAAAGAGGCTAAAATCACCAATGAAGCCAGTTCATGTTTATAATTTAATTTTAAACGCTTTGTGATTTATGTGTATTAAGTGCTGGATTATTTCTCATTTACTAGCTGTTTAGTTATCCCACACCGGGGTCAGCTGCGCCTCGTCATCCCCTCCCTGCTCCATGCACTTTGCTCTGTGTCAGTAGCAGTCCTGTTTCATTTAGCCACCCACAAACTCACAAAGGACTAGACTGAACTTGGTCAAAGAAGATCCAACAATACTGAGAAAGAGCAACGACCGTTGTGTGTAAAGAAGCTCGGTTTGGGGAGCAGCAGGGCTGAATTTCAGCCACATCCTGCTGGAACAAAATCCGGGAACTCTCTTCTTTTGACAGGGTGCATTCCAGCAACTGTTTGCTTGGATCCGGCAACTCAAATCTCTGCCCCTAAAAGTCCAAAGTCATTGCACATTTTTATTTTGAATATATATTAAAAATACAATGAGGGGAGACGTTGCCCTTGGCCCAGCAGACCCAGTCTGTGGAGTGGATGTTTTGGACGTAGCACACGCACCAGCTCGCGCGCACACTCCTGCCCACCATAGACATGAACGGAATGTCCTGTGGAAATGAAGTGTCTTCATCCAACACCTTCAGCAGTGCACCCTGTGGACAGTGCACGTTACGCACAGGAGCGTCTCCAGACAGCTCTACAGAGCACACACAACTGCTGATGTGTCGGAACTCACGCATACATTTCAGCATTTCAGACAGAATAAATAAAAAAAGCTTTCAGTAAAAAAAATAAAAATACAACAAGAAATGTTTGCAGTGTTATTCACATTACATCATGTTTCAAAACAACAGCACTAATTTGTCAAAATAACAGCGATCAAAATGTCGAAAAGATAGTCCATGTCATAGTCTGCACCTTTTGTCTGTTTTCTTTGTGTGTATCTTGCCTTCATTTCCTTTCCTGTTCTGTCATAATCTGTCCTCTTGTCTATAATTTTTGTGCTTATCCTTCTCTTGGTTCCTTTTTCTGTTCCTAGAGCTTTGCCTCCATCATGTGGTCTGTCAAAGTTACAACTCCCTCATTAAGTTCCAATCTTCTTCACCTGTTGTCCTCCCAGATGTTTGTCATTTGTCTCATCAGTGTTGGCATATTTAAGTCAGTGTGTTCTGTTGTCTGGTATCTGGGCATTTCCTCATGAAGACTACCTGGCTCCTGTTTCATGTCCTGCACTAAGTCCGGGTTTTTGTCTCCCTTCATGACCTTGTATTATTCATGTAAGTTTTTGCTGCCACATCAGCCCTTTTGTTTATTTTTTTACTAAATACTTTTTCCTTCACTCTTTACCTGAGTTGTCTGAGTCCTCCCTGCATTTTTGGGTTCCAAACCAATACCGGTTCCTTACAGAATGACCAGATTAAACTGAACCCAGTAGAAGGATGACAACAATTTTTGAGTTTCTCTCCCACCAAGCAGAAATGACTCTCCAGCGGGACATGGAGAGGAGAGAGACTCAGTTCATGGGCACCCACCTGGATATAAAGCCTGTTTCCTCC